CAGGGTGTCACTAAGGATTGAACCCTTTCTATTCTAAGTGGATACATGAAGATAATATACACAACAATTTACATTCTTAAAGTTCTAACTTGACACTATATTTTACTAGTTTGTGTCCTATCCTTCTATAAGCATATTAAAGTCACGTCCCAACTTCTTGATGCAGCTAAACTTCATGCTTGTATAGGTATTTCCTTTGTTCTTGCACCTGCAAATGCAATTTTTCAAAGAACTATAAAGAAATAAAATTCCAACCTCCTTAACTTGCAGTACTGAACACATACCTTGGGATGATGATAAAATGTGTTCCAATCTTCAAATATCAAGCTTTCCACATTGAATTCAACATCTAATATTGCATTAGATGGGAATTAGGTATCTCAATATAAAAGATTTTAAGTGGACTTTAAACCCATCCTTATAGCCACCTTGTGCACAGGATTTCTTGCTAACCCTTTGGTTAGATGATCGGCCAAATTCAATTGAGTTCTTACAAACTCCACAGATATCACACCAGTCAAGATGAGCTCACGAATCATGCTATGTCTAACACCTAAATGTCCAGACTTCCCATTGTACACTTGACTATAAGCCTTAGCCAAGGTTGCATCACTATCACACCTGATAGAAATTGTAGATATCAGTTTTGGCCAGAGTGGAATTTCATAAATCAAATTCCTTAGCCACTCAGCTTCTTTACCAGCAGCAGACAATGCAACAAACTCAGATTCCATGGTTGAGTTTGTAATACAAGTCTGTTTCTTAGATGCCTAAGAAATGGCACCTCCTCCAAGAAGAAACACCCAACCACTAGTGGATGAGTGATCCTATAAGTTTTTAATCCAGTTGGCATCTGAATAACCTTCCAAAACCGAAGGATATCCATTATAAGTTAAACCATAATTTATAGTCCCTTTCAAGTACTTGAATACTCTACTCACAGCTTGCCAATGATGTTAACTAGGATTGCTACTATATCTACTAAGCATTCCCACAACATATGTTATATCAGGCCTAGTACTAATCATGGCATACATTAGATAACCAATAGCACTTGAGTATTCAAGTTGAGACACTAGAGATCCTTTATTAGGTAGAAGCTTAAGACTAGGATCTATAGGAGTGCTAACAGGAGAACAATTCTCAAAGTTAAACTTTTTCAATATCTTCTCAATATAATGAGATTGAGAAATTGAAATCCCATTGTTTCCTTTTCTAATTCTTATACCAAGAATTACCTCAACATACCCCATGTCTTTCGTATCAAAACTGGATGATAAGAATTTCTTGGTTTTATCAACTTCTTCTAAATCAATACCCAAAATCAACATATCATCTACATATAAACAAATCATGACTCCTTTACCAGAAGTATCAAATTTGCTATATACACACTTGTCATCTTGGTTTAATGCAAAACCATTAGACAAAAAAACATTATCAAACTTTTGATGCCATTGTTTTGGTGCTTGTTTCAAACCATATAATGATTTCTTCAACTTGCACACTTTGTGCACATTTCCATGCATAACAAACCCTTCGGTTGGTTTCATGTAAATTTCCTCATTTATGTCACCATTCAAGAATGCAGTTTTCACATCTATTTGGTGAATCACAAGATTATTTATAGCTGCAAGAGCTAACAATAATCGAATAGTGGAAATTCTAGCAACAAGAGCATAAGTATGAAAGAAGTCAATGCCTTATTTTTGCCTAAAGCCTTGAATAACCAATATGGATTTATACTTATAAATTGTGCCATCCACCTTCATTTTCCTTTTGAGGATCCACTTACTTCCCACGGCCTTGCAACCAGGAGGTAAATCTGACAATACCCAAGTATTATTATGTATGATAGAATCAATCTCATCCTGAATTGCTTCTTTCCAGAAATAAACATCCCTAGATGTCATAGCTTCACTAAAAGTCTTTGGATCCTCCTCAATATTAAAACAATATTGATGTTGAGATATAGTCTTATTCTTGTTACTTCAACTAGATAAAGTTGAAAATCAGATCCAAAAAAATTAGCTTTTATAACTCTTGTGTTTTTCCTAGGTTCAGGTACAGAACTTGCTCCACCAGAAACATCTTTAGCTTGATTAGTACTCTTTCTAGAAGATTGATGAATCATGTCCCTTGGTCTAGGTATAGATGTAAATCTTTCTTTATCAAAAAATAGCATTTCTTGACTATATCATAGTGTTTACAGATGCATAGTCATTAGATTCTATACCATAGAATCTATATGCTTTGGAATACTTAGCATATCCAATAAAGATACAATCTACACCTCTCTCACACAATGTTTTCCTTTTTGGTTTAGTGAGCCTTACAACTGCTCTACAACCCCAAACTTTGAGATAACTCAAATTTGGTACCTTTTTACATCAAAGTTCAAAAGGAGTATTCTTACTCCTTTTATTTGGAGTTCTATTGAAAATGTAACATGTAGTTAACATTGCCTCACCCCAAAACCCTTCACTTAATCCAGAATAGGACAACATGGAATTAAACATTTCTTTCAAAGTTTTATTTTTCCTTTCAGCTACACCATTTTGTTGTGGTATATAAGGAGCTGTGGTTTGATGCATTAGTTCAGTTGATTCAAAATAAATTGGATCATAATACTCACCACCTGTATCAGTACGCAAGACTTTTATTAATTCATTTTTATGAAGCTCAACTTGTTGTTTATAAATTTTAAATTTATCAAATGCTTCATTCTTAGAATGTAGCAACTAGACATAACAATATCTAGATGCATCATCAATAAAAGTAACAACATACTTTTTGTTTCCAAGAGAAGGTGTTGCATGGAAACCACATAAATCACTATTGGTTGACATTCCTTGAATCCCGGTACATATAACCACAATTATTTAAAACAATTTCAAATACAAGATTCTTTCAAATCCTCGGTACATATAAAACATTGTTTAGACATAAACACTTTCCAAAAGTAAAGTAAAGTGAAACATATCCTAAACCCTTGATTTGTTCAGTTGCAACATTTCCTATTTTCACCACAAATTCATCTTCAATTGGTTGACATTCCTTGAACCAACGAAGATCCTTACATATATGGCTTGTTGCTCCAGAATCAACCCATCATGCAAAATCATCATCCTGCACATAAAATGCTTTAGAAATCACAGAAATATAATTATAAACATATTTTGAATTCTACATGGAAATAGAAATCTGACCTTGTTGCTGTTCTGGATCCTTGGATCCACTTGGTCCAACACCATCCTTGTTCACTTTGCGAAGACGACAATCTTTCTTGAAGTGACCCGGTTTGTTACAGTTCCAACAAACCAACTTAGCCTTATTGTTTTAAGATTTGTCATCCTTTCCTTTAAACTTCCTTTTTCCATTAGACTTTTTGGGATTAATTGAACTTTCTCCTTCCACCATGTTCACAGAAGAGGAACTAACTTAGTTCTTGCCTTTAGGATTGTTATCAAGTTCTCGAGTCCTTATGGACTCTTCAATCCTTAAATGGCTTCCAAGTTGAGTCAAAGTCAATTCCTCTTTGTTATGTTTCAGATTGTGTTTAAAATCCTTCCAGGAAGGGGGCAGTTTGTCAATGATCACAACTACAGAATTGGCTTCATCCATTTTCAGATTGTGTTGAGAAAACTGTCCCAAAATCCTTAACATTTCATGGAATTGTTCCATAACAAGTCTGAAGTCAACCATCTTGTAACCCATAAAATTACTGACAAGAAACTTCTTGTTAGAAGCATCTTCAGCCAAGTACTTAGATTCAAGAGAATTCCACAGTTCTTTTGTAGATTCGAAATTTTGATAGATATAAAAAAAGAGTCAATCATACCATTAAGAATATGACCACTACATATGTAATCATCATTTTCCCACTTTGATCTCCTTCTTATTGCCTCCAAAGGTTCATCTTCAACAGATTCTAGCAAAACTGACATGGGTGTACTCAAAACATACCCTACTTTCAGAGTGGTAAGGAGAAAGTGCATCTTCTTCTGCCATCTACGAAATTCTTTTCCTTCAAACTTGTTCAATTTGTCAAACTTTCTTGTCATATCCTTCACAGAATCGTCACTTACCATGATCACATAATACTTTGATTTTTTTTTTTTAGATTTTAGGGTAATGAAGGCACTCGGATATTCTGATAATTGTGATTTCACTATCAAATCAAAGTATTGGGTGGTACTCCCTAATCTTTGATTGGATAAGACTCGGAAGAGAAAAGAACGGAGAATGATATATATGAATTTCGTAAGTACCAGAAAAACTGACCAAAATTGGTTTAATACCTCCTTTGTCTGAAAATTGTCAAAACTGTCATAAAACAGTTTAGCAACAGTCAAAAAACCTATCATAAATCCGGGTTTTCTATAAGGATTAATACAGAGCCAAAAAACGAGTCAAATATTCTAAATTTAGATTTCTAATGCATTTTCTAAATTTACAGCTAGATCCCAGCCAGGGGCTCTGCCCCCTTGGATCCCGCTCCTAGGGGCGCTGCCCCCGAACCCCCGTTCGTTCAAGGGCTTCGCCCTAAAAGACAGTCTACTTTTAGTTTTAAATAAAATCAAACAAGTGTCCAGTCCACACCTTCCTTACTCGTTTAATATTTATCAATATCACTTTTGGTCAACGAAGTAATTTCATTACACTTAAATCACATTAGTGAAACAAATCACAAACAATTTAGTCTATGAAAATTAAAGTTTTCGTACTACACTTTTATATTTTTCTCATTAGTCGCGAATTAAATAATATTATTTAATTTTAGTAAAAATTTAAAATATTATTTATACATAAAATTACCAATATACATCAATTATTATATATAAATATTTGTGTATGATCATATTATTAAATAAATTATTTTTTTATTACATAAATTATTTACTATCATCCGTATGATATGGCCGTAAGAAAATACAACAGGGCCGGGTCCATTATCTATATAAAGATTATCCACTAAATACAATAACTAATAAAAGCCATTAATTCTTGAAGGCAACAATCGGACTCCTGACATTATGAACTCCATCACTCCAAACCAAGGAACCTGAAATCATCATTGACCCAATTGTCGCTTCAACAGTCACCACAAAATATTGCTTCTCCCCCACTGCTTTGAACGCAAGACTGCTCGGGCTAACCTTCACCACAAATCCTGATGGCGCTACCACATTAGCCTGGTATGTAGACTCCGGTGCACCCACATTAGTAACAGTCCTATTAAAGGTCCTGACAATGGTGCCTGAATGATTAGCCGATAGTGCAAACGAAGGATAGTTTAGGTCCCAAACAGTCGCGTTATTCCCCGCCGAGCAAGCACTTGTATCCCCGGTGACGATTTTCAAAATTGTGGCGTTATAACCCTGCCCGCATAAAAATGACACGAAATCTGCTTCTCCGGCGTCATACACCAAACCTGGATCGATGGCTTTTAAGGGGTCGATATGGCCTGAACCATACGCAAATTCATGGTCCACGTTTTTAGTTGGACTCATTGGTGCAGCTGCCATATATGAAAATAAAAACACCCATTGTTATTTCAAATATGGAATTATTTCTCGTGCTAGGGTTTTATAATAGTGCTACCGGTGGTCATAAGGGCGGACTTAATTGTGGCAGGAGACCATGTAGGGTGGAAGGATTTTACATAAGCTGCTGCGGCGGAGGCGTGAGGGCATGACATGGAAGTTCCGGAGATGATATTGTATGGTACAACACGAGTGTCTCCTTCTACTCCGGTGACAGTCGTATCCAGCGACCATGCTGCTATGATATCCACTCCAGGTGCAGTTAAATCGGGCTACAATTAACAATATATATATATATATATATATATATATATATATATATATATATATATATATATATATATATATATATATATATATATATATATATTATCATTCATAAATAAGATATACATGCGTATATTGTATAAATACTAAGACCCGTTATACAGAAATTTACTTTAAGGATGTCGGATGTTATTGGGTTTGGGCCCCTTGATGAGAAGGAGGCAACAGTTGGAGCAGCTTTGTCTACAAGTTCAATACTCTTAAGGATGCTAGCACTTGGAGTTCTATATATATATATATATATATATATATATATATATATATATATATATATATATATATATATATATATATATATATATATATATATATATATATATATATATATATCAAGCAAAATCGCATGAAAAATAATCAGAAAACTGGTCATTAGGGGGGAAGAAATCACAAGTAAGCAATCGACTTACGTGGTTGAGTTTATGTAGCTTTGAATTGCACTGCCATCTTTGTCGTTCAAGTATGTCGTTGGTAGAGGCCAAGAGAATGCCGTATCTTCAAACCCGAAATCACCTTCGATCACTGCACCACTTGCACCGGATTCCAACGCAGTTGGGGGACCCACTGTACTATCGCAAACGACAATTTTGTTTTTAACCAATGTTGGGTCCAAGGAACCTGGTTCGCAGATTCTGCGTTTCGTGATCATTGATGATTAGTATTTTTCTTTAAATCTTTGAATCGGTTCTTCATGTTGATCGTAAATTAGATTGATTGATAATTACCTTGAATCATCTGATGTAAATCCTGTATTCGTCACAGAATCACCATAAACTATAGGATGAATCGCAGCATCGAATGTGTTTATTGCCGGCCCCTAGCACACAAGATACAATTACAAAACCATCCATGATCTTGTTGCGATGTCTGAAAGTGAAAGAGAATTTCTCACCACGAAGGTCATATTGTTGCCCAACACAATCGGAGTTACAAACTTCCGATCAATGGTGCTAGCAGCAACCGTTAACGACCATGGAGAATAATTAGCAACTGTTCCGGCTACAGGTCCGCTGTTTCCGGCGGAATTGGATGTGAGAATCCCATTCTTCATGGAATGAAAAGCTCCAATGGCGATAGAATCCTCAAAGTAATCGGAAGGAAAAGGACTTCCGACGGAAAGAGATATCATGTCGACCCCATCAGCAATTGCATCATCAAAAGCTGCCATGATATCGGCTTCTGTACAACCACCCTCCCAACAGACTTTGTACACAGCTATGCGAGCCGATGGAACACCACCCCGAGCCGTCCCGTTAGCTAGACCAAACAAGCTTGCATTGTTCACTGCACGTCCGGCCACCGTGGAAGCAGTGTGAGACCCATGGCCCTCGGTGTCTCTTGCTGAAAGGTTGGCGGCTCTCGGGTCACTCAGGTAGTATTTTGCTCCGATGAGTTTGCTGAAATATTTCGTAATGTTAATTAATCTCTCCTTATCAATATTATAATCAAGAAACTAATATGTTCGATCGAGGTGGATTTATCTACTTGTTGCAGGTGAAATTGGTGGAATCGCATGAGCCCTTCCATTTGGATGGTGGGGGGCCAAATCCATCGTCCTTGAAGCTATCGGATTCCGGCCAGGCGCCGGTGTCCAGCATTCCGACGATGATGTCGCTTTCAAGGGGTGCTCTTTTGACATCTTGAGGAAAGCCCATAAAGTCCCAGGACCTTGTTGTATGCAGTTCCATGATTTTGCTTGGAAACACTGACACGACTCCCTCCATACCTACGTACATGCAAGCGTATATACATACCTAATCATAAGTAAATAAGTATTTTAATTTAGTTTGATTTCTAAAAAAAATCTCACGAGCTATTTTGTTTTTTTCGTCATCTACTAGCTTCGCGGCAAACCCATTAAAGCTTCTTTTGTAGCTTCGGAGCAACGCAGTTGATGCCCGGCTGCTTGAAATGAAATCCATTTAAGATTAATTAGTGATGATCAACTGATCACTAATTGCATCGAACTATACATACAAGAGATAATATCGATATTTTCGACTGTAGATGTAGTTTAATGTCGCGAATTGTTACCTCCCACAAACTTCCTGTAGCAAGTTATGGTGGAGTGACGACACTGATGAATTACCCTTTGGAAGGTCACCCATATACACAATGTACGTCTGCAAAACAAACAACAATTGTATCTCAAAACACAATCTTATAGTTATACAAAAATGTTGATATATTTATCTTGGTGTGATCAAAACTCGAAAACGAGAAATATTGAATGCCTTGAGATCATTGGAGTCGGCAGCAAAAGTGTCACCAAAAATAAGAGAACATGTGACAGTAACCAAGAAGAACCATAACTGAGACGCCATTAATTTGAAAAACACAATGGAACTTGTTTATATATATATAGCAAACGTAATTCATTGGTTACTCCGAAGTTAGCCGATGTTGGTGATATCGCAGCAGTGGCGGATCCCTTAAGGGGCTGCGGGCCCAGCTTTTTAGCCAATGGCCATATCCAGTAGCACACGCATATCGTATGATTCTGGAATAAATTGTGCTTGGAAAACTCTATGTTTTTTAAGAGGAAAAGTGAGTAGGAGTTTGTTGAATTAAAATCCAAATAAACACTAACAAAGTTTGGCGTATCTAATTTTTTTCATTAAATATGTATTTAATGTAAAGAAAGAGAATAAACAATGTCTCCAGTAAGTTACATATTACAACCTACAAGCTGTCAAAAGATAAGAGGCGATAAAAGAGGAGTACGAGTAAATTTAAGACTAGTTGCCTAACCGTGCAAATGCAGGGGAGACAAATTCTTTATTGTAAGAAGTTAAAACGTTATGGTATTAAAAGTTGAGACATTTGTTTATTCAATTTGAAAAAATATTCCTAAACATTCGGTTTTAGATATCTGGGTAAATGACTGTAGAAACCACACTGTGGATAGACTCCAAATTATGTAGAATAGCAACATATTTTTCCAATTCCATAAGAACATCATGCTCCACAAGCTGCTTCAGATCAGTCTATCTGTTAATGTCCATATAAAGAAAAATAGGCAAAAATATGCAGCCGTACGGACAGAGTCACATGTTCAAAACAAGCTGAGGGTTAAAAGGATAAATTCTTACCATTTTGACCACCTTATCTTTATCAATAACTAATACGTTGAATACATTGTAGAAGCTATTATTACAATAATAATTCAAACTTTGGTAAAGCAATGTATAGTGTTTTATATATTAAGAGTACATTTTCAACAACTTTTATATATTATGGGAAAAAGAAAGGAGACTAATGTGAAGTGTGGTGTTTGGTGGAGATCCTTCGTTGGTTCTTGAGGGGGCTGATAAACTTAAATATGAATTTGAGAAAATGATTTGAAGTGAAAAGATAGTAAAATATCTAAATTTGAAGTAGAGATTAACTGAATATATACTAAAATAACTAATGCGTTAAAATATCTAACTTACTCTCAAGTACTGATTAAGGATACTAACTTTGCTAAATGCAACGACATACAAATTTTGTAACAACCTAAAACTCGTGATAAAATATTTCATTTAAAAATCAATAGTTTCAATCACCAAATAGATCCAAGTCAACAACAGTGTACAATATCCAAAACATCCGACTAATAGTATAAAAAAAATGTGGAAATCATGAGGAAATGATGTTGTGTCATCACGTCGGACTCTTCCCTTTTGTATCGGAAGTAATTGAAATCATAAACATAAACTGTAAGCATAAAACTTAGCGAGTTTCCTCAAAACACCACATACAAAAAATATAAACTAGGTCTAGCCCTGGTATAATGCCTCAAATTTCAACCCAATTTTTTTTATTAAAACTTTAAGTGTTTAATTAAATCACAACTACAAGATCTTAAAATATTATGTAACACCCAAAATCAGAAAGTCCAAGAAAGGAAAGAAAAACCCTAAAGTAGAAGGGTCGACTTGTCGAGTCCAGGGAGGAACTCGACGAGTCAGAGCGAGATCTGGGTGTAGAAAAAGTGACTGACTCGGCGAATCGACGAGTGGACTCAGCGAGTCTGGTCTGAACGAGAAAACCCTAATCCGGGGGTTTGCACCCTATTTAAGGAACATTACACCCATTCCCCAGCCTCTTTACTCCTCTTTGAGATCCAGAAGCCCTAGAATCGTGAGTGAGAGCCATTGGAAGCAAATTGGGGCATTGTAAAGTGTTTGTGAAGAAATCTTGAAGATCAAGAAGCTTGGACCAAGGAGGTTCGTGGAGATTCGGAATCCTTTTCAGTAGGAGGATGTTTTGGAGGTAATGAATCGTTATCCTTGGCTTTCCCCTTGCTAGATCCATCTTTCATGGAGTTTTAGGGTTTCTTTGAGGGTATGTGATGTGAAATAGGTGCACAAGTTAGATCTGGAGTTGAAACTCTAGATCTGAGCTCTATTTGGATCATAGTTGCATAAAGCCCTGTTAGTTGCTATGCAAAAGCCATTCCACATGAGTTAAGTTCCTTTCTAGCTTGATTTTTGGCATTAGGGGTCAAGAAGCACGTAAAGGTAGCAACTTTATGTTGCTAATGGACTCTAGAAACGTAGATCTTTGATTTGGAGCAAAGGAGTAGCTCTGTAACTCAAGATTATGGGAAAGCACGTATGGACTCGGCGAGTCTGGGACATGACTCGACGAGTCGGGCTAGATATCAGTCTTAGAGTCGCGTTGGAACTCGGCGAGTCACATGGGTGGACTCGGCGAGTTGGATGAAGTTAGGCAGCAACTCGGCGAGTTTGTTGAAGATTGTCTTGGACTCGACGAGTCAATTCGCGAAACCCCAAACCCTTCTAGTTAAGACTCGGATCAGTGAGTTGGGTGAAGACTCAGTGAGTTGGACAGGTCAGAACTCGGAAATCAGTAGACTCGGAGATTCATGGTCTGATTCAGCGAGTCGAGTCGCGAATGAAAGGGGTTTCAAAGCTTATGAACTCGGCGAGTAGGGTTAACCTGGAAGGTTGACTGTGACCAGGACTTTGACTTTGACCAGAGTTGACTTAGTTGACTTTTGAAGGACTGTCAGAATAAGTATCATTTTGATATTGGTAGCTCAGAGAGCTGGAGGAGCAGCGACTCAGAAGGTTGTTGGTTAGCAGCCAGAGGGTTAACAGCAGAGCTCAGCAGTTCAGGTGAGTTTCCTTCCAGTAGGAACGGGTCTAAGGCCACAATGTTGGCCCGTTTAGCTAGCAGTAGTTTTCGGACTTCGGTCTGATGCAGTAGTTAGTATGTTTGATGCCTTCGTGGCTCAGACAGGATTTATGTGTTATGCATTCTGGGCTATGGCCCGATGCAGTATGTACTATATGTGCATTCATGCTAGTTGATATGTTTATGTTATGTTATGTTCAGTTAGTTCCGGACTTCGGTCTGATGCAGTTAGTCCGGACTTTGGTCCGATGCAGAGGACAAGGTCCCAGTCAGTTTTCGGACTTCGGTCCGTTGTAGGGGCGAGGCCCCAGTCAGTCCGGACTTCGGTCTGATGCAAGGGACAAGGTCTCAGTCAGTTTTCGGACCTCGTTCCGATGCAGTGGGCAAGGCCCAGTATGTGCTTTATATGTTATTGTATGGTATTTGGTAGTTTGGGGGAGCTCACTAGACTTCGTGCTTACGGTTTCAGTCTTTGGTTTTAGGTACTCGGTTTTCAAGGGAGGAGCTCGGAGAGATTGCAGTACACACACCATAGTCAGCTAGCTTGGGAACGTTCACTCTGATAATAAGATTATGTTTTGGATTAATACTCGGAATTTATGTTATAACTTATGATGCAGTTTTTATAAATATGGTTTTAGTAATGTTTTAAAAGAAATTTTTAGTCGTGATTTTTGGGTCGTTACAAGTTGGTATCAGAGCCTTGGTTTGAGGGATTCGGACCTACTTGAGAGTGTGTCTGGACTCAAACTAAGGAAACGGTAAAAAGGGTTTTCAAAAGAAAGACATTTTCAAAAAGAATTTTGAGAAAAGAAAAGAGTTGTAGAAAAAGTGAGAGAATTTTAGAAAGAAAAGAACTTTGAAAAGAGAAAAAGGGTGTTGTGCATGCAATCAGCCGAGCTCAAGTAAGTACTCCCAAATTACCCATACAAGTTTATGATTATCAGTTTCAGTTTCAGTTTTAGTTCCAATTTCAGTTTCAGTGTCAGTAGAACAGCATGCTAGTATAGGACTAAGGATCTAGGAGGGTGCCTTATGTGCCTGCTTATGTGTTTTAGCCAGTTCAGTGTTTCAGCCAGTTCAGTGCTTCAGCCAGTTCCGTGTTTCAGCCAGTTCGGTGTTTCAGCTAGTTCAGTGCTTCATCCAGTTCAGTGTTTCGAGTAGTTTCAGTGTTATGGACTGTATTAGTATGTGTGTTGGAATGCAAGTGCTGACGGTATAGTTGGTTGATTTGGAAATGGCAAGTCCCTCTCAGCAGGATCATTTGAGTCTTCTGCCAAGTATAAGTAATCTGCAAGGATAATTAGGCAGGTAGCCTTTCTTTCAGGATGGAAGCTCGAGTTAGTGGAAGTTGAGTAGTTAGATGGGAGATAAGCAGGTTGGTTCCATCAGCATCGATTCAGTATGAGCGGCAGAGTGGATAAAACAGTTATAGATATTTGAAGTATCTTCAGTAGTCGTTGGAAACGACTAAGAGGTTGCGATGGGTTGTAGTGACTGGGGGGAGTCCGGTAACCTAGATATCGGCAGATTAGTTGGACTAGGGTGGTCTCAGTGCATCCGGTAGGCGGATGAGGGGCAACAAAATTTTCAGTCAGAGGTAGTAACGATAAGGGAAGTATGGTATGAGGCAGCAAGTTGGCAGAAGGTGTTACGCCTCTCACAGCAGGGTTGGATAATCTCTGAGGGGAGGGCTTGGCCTTGTTGTGCAACTCTCGTATGAGTCTTAACCGTTGCAGGGATGAACCTTTCACTGGAAGGATTATCTGATCCATTCGTTGGGACGGGTGCTTAGCACTAAGTATTGGAAATATGAAGCATTCAGTAAGTACCAGCAGTAGTGACCAGCGCTGAGAGTGGCTGGAGTGATGGACACCGTGAAGGGTATGATCTTCACAGTGACAAAGGAGGTGAATAGCTATAGAAGGCAGCCTCGAAAAGGCCAGAGAACGCATGAGGAAAA